TCTTTCTCACCCCGCTCCCCAGGTATCTTAAGCCATAGGCTTTCCTCGAACTCCGTTTTCACCACTACTTCCACCACGTCAAACAAGTGTTCCTTGACCAGGAATCCGACTCCCCCCTCCCCCCTTTTCTTCGGGTCCAAGCCCTTTCTTGCCTTGGGGGGTGGGAGGGGGGGGATATGTTTTGCATGCCTTAGCGGTTAGACCATTGACAACGCGTCCTCGAGAGGACGGAGCAGTGTGCTCACAGAACCGATCACCGATGGCCAATCGTTCCTTTCTACCTTGCCAAAAGTGGCTAAAAAGTATTTACCACATCCTATACACCCTTATTCATGTCTCTTCCACCCTTTTCAGCCCATTTCATTATAGCTACCGTCTTCTTCCGGCTATTCCATGCCTCAAACATCTCTTTGTAACTTCCTTCTATATTTCCCAGCTCAGTCATGCATGTCATGTACCGGGGGGGGGATCACGATCGGTAAACTCCGGTAGCGGCAAACAGCGCGAAATAATGAACCAGCCGGCAAATGAGACTCCCATAAGCTAGCTACACGGCCGACGCAGCAGGTAGAACACCGGCGGCGCTTTCATGGGTCTGCCGGTTAGCGCTTACTAAACAGGCACCGCATCCATCCCCACACCCGAGCTGGACTACTCACAACGAAAACAACGAGATAAACAGGACCACAGAACAACAGGTCAGAAGAAGAGGGACGACTTTGACACCAAGAGGAAGCACTACTGTTTATTACCCATGAGCAAAAAAGGACCACAAGTGAAGAGAAAAACAACAAAATCGAAAGAAGAGGGACGACTTCGACAACAAGAAGCCGCACTACTACTCATGGGAATAAAAGGACCACAAAGAAGAAGACCACAACCACCCAAAAGAAAAAGGGACGACAAGAAAAAGCTCACATGCCGCTGGCTCTGCCTCCCCGGATGGTGCACGCCTCCACCAACGCCTCTGCTCCCGTGCGGACATCCAAGCCCGACAGACAGCTCCCGGCAACGGTGCAGCCGGTCAGAGTGGCCCTCGAAGCGACGTGAACCAAAACCCCTCCGCGCCTGGTCGTTTTTTTTTTTTCCAAAGAACAAGGGATGTTATGCCACAAGGAGGACGCCATCACTACGGTGTAACAACTTCGGAGTTGAGAAATTCAGGCTTGAGAAAAGAAGGGATTAAATTAGCTAGAATATTTTGCCCATGAGAACACGATCTCAGTCAAGAGCCCTACACAAAAAAGCCACATAAAGAGTTGGTGTTGGCTTAGCCCACAAGAGGAAACAAGAAGCAAACCCCTATCAGACAAAGAGTTTCTCAACCCTTAAGCGGAGGGGCGTCCGGCAATATCAGTACCTGCACGGCGTCAAGAATTGGACGTCTGCTCGCGCAGCACGTTTCGCATGGCGGCTGTGCTTCTCCAATCACGACCAGTTTTACAGGCAAAACCCCCACACAATTTGACAAACTTGCAAGCAAACACCGCGCCGCCAACGGTCACCAACCGTGCCAAAAAGCCGCGACGTACATAATCCCTAAAAACTTGTAGAGTTTTGATCCCGGTATACCGTACGGCGATGAAATGACGGGCAAAAATCACCCCTCTATGTCGGGACACCGCACTATTCATTCAGTGTTGGGGAAGATATAGCTGTTAGTGGGATAGCCAAATCCCTTGACAAGCGAGTTTTACCGCGGTGTATCGGGACCCCCACTACTCGGGACCGCGGTACGGTATACCGTATATCGGGACCACCACTGCTTTTTTTTGTTGTCCCACGGTACCTGGCAAGAAAAAAAAAAACGCTTGGCGCCGACGATAACGGCAACAAATCAAGCCCACGGGGACAACGTCAGTGACGTCCGCTGGGCTTAGCTCACCTGCTGTTGACGATGCTGCACGCCTCCAGTGTTATCGAGGCGTTTCTAGGCAAAAGAGGGAGGGGAGGGGGGTATGGCGGGAGTGAAGGTCAAGGGCACGAAGCGTGCTGAGAGAGACAACAACAACTACAACAACAACAACAACACAGGACCCCCACCCCTGTGAATGCGGACTCTATTTCTTCTGCCCGAAAACCAATCGCTACGCCGGTTGCTCCCCGAGAACTCCCCCCCCAGACCCCAGATGCAGCGCACCCTCCGTACGACTCGCCGAATACCTCACGGCGCTTCGTGCTTGGTGATGTGAGAGCCTGGTACGGTGAGAACCCGGCTTGCCCCGTGCCGGTTTTCGTGGTGATACGAGGTCAATGGCCTAACGACTACGGCATGCACCCCCCCCTTTCAAGTAGGAAGGGACGAATGGCCATCGGTGATAGATCGGCCCTGTGGGAACAACAATGCTCCGTCCTCTCGAGGACGCGTGGCCAACCGTCTCACCGCCAAGGCATACAAAAAACAAGAGTGCGCGCCCCCTTTTCCCCCTGCCCCCGGACTCCCTCTTTAAACCCGCCGCACCTCATGGCCTCTGCGCCGGCGAACTGGCTCCCGACCACGTCGCAGCGGCTGAGCCTTAGCCTGGAGAAGGCCTGCGCGAACACGCCGCTCTTGCCGCACCCCGAAACGGTACAGGCCGACAGGGACACCGTCGACCCGCCTCTCGCCTCCACCCCTGGGACCACACACACCAAAACGGGAGCTACTTATTTAGAAAGACGTCACACTATCGAGGGAGCTATTAGAAAAGGCGTCACACTATAGAGGGAAGGCAGCTATTTCTGTCGCCCACTCGGCCGACATTTATTAGGGTTAGGGGTAGCGAACCCTCCTAACTCTAGCCGCAGAATGCCACCTGTATAGCATCAACATCGATACATGTCCGTCCCAGGCCATACGTAATGATCTTTTTTGGGAGCGTTTTTTGTTTTTTGTTCAGCGGCACTGCTGTGAATGATGACGTCTTTTCATTGGTCAGTCGGTTGACTCGGTCGATGCTTACAATGAAGACACAACACCACATGAGGGAGGACTATAATACAGCATGACCACGAAAAGAGTGCTCGCACAGCTGCATAAAACAAATAAATCGAGGTTCTTCGACTGACAACGAGAGTGTGAGATCGATTTGGCGCCCAAACAAACACTACAGTAGGTGTCCTGATATAGTGCCAGTCGAACAGTGCCGGTGCTCGGAATAGTGCCGGTCAAACCTCTGGGCACATACCGGCACCATAACGGGACACCTACTGTAACAAGAAATCCCGATATCGGCAGATACGCGCAGGAGAATGTAAGCTGCCGCCGTGGAAGTTCCACGCCAGGCAGGCACCCTCTGCATACACACATACAGGAGGCACCCCGTTGTAATGTCTTCGCGAGTCGTGGCGCTGTCTTTCTCTCTCCCTCCGTGCGTGGCAGAAAAAAAAACTCGGGGATATTATCCTCTTGGTGTGGTTCGAGGGGTCACGGGTGGCGAACAACCGCGAAGGACAGGGGGGTTACCATTCCTGCCGTCTCTCACGCCGCCACGCCCACGCACCCACATCATTATATATTTTCGCGCTTTCGCTGTTGGCTGATGCTGCTTGATTGATTTCCCTCTTCTCGACCTCGACGTCTCGTTGTCCGTTTCTGTCTATGTACCACTTCTTTCTGTTCGACCTATCTATATTTCTCTCCCCTCCCCATCTCTGGGTCACCTCGCTCTCCCGTGTCTGCCTCTGCATGTGCACATGTCCGTCTGTTGGTGTATCTATTTCACCTCTCTCCCCCCACGACGTGCTCCCTCCCGGCTTTCTAGGCACACACGGTCAATGGTCGAACGACTACGGCATGCACGGCTATGAGAACCCCCCCCCGACCCCCCCCGGTGTTTGCCATCGGGGTTGGGTTTTCGTCGGTTGGCAACGACGTTGTAAAACAAGCCGCCCCCCCCGGTGTTTGCCATCGGGATTGGGTTTTCGTCGCTTGGCAAAGACGTTGTAAAACAAGCCAATTCACTTCGTG